ATATATATATATTTCTAATGCACAGGAGAAAGGCAAAAACAAATTACACAATCTAAATTGTAACTCATTTCAGGGTATCGTATGTCACTCATTCTAGAACCATATTTAGCTAAGTTACCCACAAACTTGGACTTTTTAATACTTTGTTATTTCAAATTTTTCATATAACGATACTGGATCTTAATCCATATGTCATATGCAATACTATAAGCTAATGCTGGATCTTCTGTGCATCCAAAATTCTCAGTGAAATCAAAAAAATCAAGTTCAAGATTACTCATGTGTTAAAGAAACAATCATTTAAAGATTGCCCCCATCTCTGTTTTTTGTTGTATCATTTGCATTTTGGGTGTTGGAGAATTTTTTTTTACAAATCTTTGAGATATGGCAGAGTAACTATGTGGCCTCTCCTACACAGACTTAAACAGCACTTCAGTGGAAACTGTATTCCAGGGTAGGTGCTCATTCTGGTCTAGAAGGAATGGAAAGTAAACTCCACATGCTCTCTCTACAGGTTCTCTTATTATGGGCCAGATTCTCTGTTAGATAAATCAGCACAGCTCCACTGACTTCAGTTGAATTACCCTGAATTACACCGACAATCTGGCTCTGTATGTGTTCACCCCTCTCCTGCTCTGTATTCTCTCAAATTTTGCTACCATGAAAGAATCATGGTATTTTGGGGAGAAAACTAAGAATGGCTCAGCGGAAACAGACTTACACCAGATCCTAGGCTGTACGTATAGTTGAGTGTCAGCTATGTTTTAATTTTAAAAAATAGTTTTGGTCTAAAGTACACTAGAAGTAAGCCCCATATCATCTGGCACTACTGCAAGGAGCAGGTGGGACATGGCACTTAGAAGTGCAACCCATATAATATCTTTCCCTGCACTCTCAAGTCACACTCAGTTTCAATCACCGTCACCTGATTTTCAGCCACAGCTTCATGGAGCTTCAGGCAGAAGTGGGGAGTGAGGAAAGAGGTGTGGAGACCATTGTGGGAGAAGTAGAGGAACAGATGTCAATGCTGGCATCATTTGCAGAGCGGAGAAAAACAGGGAGGACACAATAACAGCCACATTTTTAAAAGTGGCCATTGACATGTGATGCCCAGCCTGAGACTGCCTTGACTTTCCTTCCCACTTACAAGGGCCCTTCCCCTCCCCAAGCATCATCCCACAACTGCCACAGTGTGGGGTTCCATGCGGAGCAGATAAAGCACACGACCAATGTGGTTGCAAGCTGAATCCGAATTCTGTTTATT